CCGACCGAACGTAACCTAACCGAAGTAGTAGTACGTCTAAAGTTTAAAGTTTCTACACCGACGAACACTAAACAAAACTTAATTACGTACACCCCCCACCCCCCCCCCCCCCCCCCCCCCAACCAAATTTTGGATACTCTTAAACTAGATTTTATCCAAGGGATCAAATACAATATGCTCCCTCTTGAGCACAAATTCTGCTTGCATGATAATCAAACGCCCTCTAAAGCACCTCAGGTATATTTCAAACCCATCTTGACTGACCTCAACTAAACCAAACATAATCTCTAATAAAGTCCAAAATTCAAATAAATCAATGAAAACCTAGTCATCTTCACAATATTTACAATCATACAATGTCTAACATGTTGTCATATTTCAAGGAAAAGGAAGAAAAAAATAACTATTCTTATATGCCCCTTAATTCAAGGAAAAAATGAAAAAAATAACTATTTTTATGTAAATCATTTTTCTAGATCAACCCTAAACTCAATTAACTCAAAGTATGCCTCTAAAATCAGAACCTAAAATTTAATTGAATCAATGAAACAAAGGAAATATGAGAAATGAAAAGGAAAAAAAAAAATGGAAAAGAAAAGTGTTTACAAAGCGTAGTCCCCGGTTAATGGTGAACGCACGGAATTCATTTTATGTCAAACAAAATGATATGACTCGTGTCATTTAATGATAGCTCCACGTGTCCTTCATCGAAAACCTTAATTACCACTTCCAAAGCTCGAAATCCACGTGGGTGTCCAGGTCATCCCAGCTAAACCCCCCTTTAAAAGAAGGTGGCGTTATTAACAACCCCTCGGCAAGATCCGTTATCAAACCCGGCATGTCAAATAACGCCTCCTCATCTAAATATAACGCCTCTCTTGATGACGTCACTTCACGGCATTGACAGGCCGGGTCGCAGCTGTCATTCACCGGAGAACTAGCCGGGATCGGTGCCGTCAGGTGTTTAACGGCCGTTTTGGCGGCCTCCCTTATATCTTCCCGTGACGACGTACGGGCAACCGGTAACCTCCATGCTGAGTCAGCAAAGTTGAGGGCCGCGTCCTTGCCCCTCAGGGCGATGACTGCCACGTCATGCGCTCGCGCTGCCATCTCAGGACACGTGTAGGTTCCGAGCCATATTCGTGTCTTTTTGTGGGGCTCCCTAATTTCGCAAACCCATTTTCCTCCCTTCCTTTGCCGTACTCCCCGGAAAACGGGATGACGTGTCTCCTTGAACTTCTTGCGGCCGGCTTTCCGCTTAGGCACGTGGCTAGAACTTGGCCACGTGGTCGACGATGAGGACGATGACGATGGGGAACACGTGTAAAAACCCTCCGACATGGCAGCAGGGGCGTCCATGGATATTATGCGGTTCTTCGAGGGCGCAGTTTTTGCGTTGGGGTCAGAGAGAGGGAACTGGGGTTTATCGAATGACGTGGCAGTGGGGGCATGATCTGGGTTGGACACGTGTGAACAGAGTGCACAGTTTGGGGACGATGGTTCTTTTCGGGATAAATTTTGGGAGGACATGTGGGTTTCATCCGAAAAGAGGGAATTCTGGTGGCCCCAACGCACGTGCGAAGGGAGGGCAGCGTTCGAAAATAATGGGTCTTTTTCGGGTAGACAGTTGAAATGATTGGGTCCCTGCAGGGCATCAAGACTCACGTGAGAGGAGGAAGAGGAGGTTGGAAAACGGGCCGACGTGGCATTGAGGGCATCCATCGGCAATATTGGTGAAATTTCGAGGTGAGGTTTGAAGGCGATGGACTTGTTGCATTCCTTCGAGTTTAGAGAGAGAGGGAGAGTGAAGGTGGTTCAGGGAGGGGGGGGTCGCAGTTTTTTTAGTTTAGAGGGAGAGTGATTTTAGGGAGAGAAAGCTTTTGAGAGTGAGTTTAGAGAGAGAGAGGAAGAGTTTTTTGAGATGAGAGAGAGTAGGGAAAGGGGGTTGAAGATGGAGTGGGTATAAATGGCCTTCCATTCTCTAAGTTGAGAAGAGAGATTTGAGGTTAGAGAGAGAAAGATGTTTGAGGTTAGAGAGAGGGGTGAAGATGGTTTATAAAGGGCCAAGGGCATCCACGCACATTACACACAAAAGAAATGAGGCCTGATGATTTTCGCACGTGTTCTGCGATTTAGGTGAATGTTTTCTCAAGTGGGTGAAGCGTGTCGCAATCGTGTGCTTAGTTGGTAGTGAAACGGTTGAAAGACCGAGACCAAGTAAAGAAGAAGGAATGATTTTTAGAGCATTTCGTGTGTCATTCGTGTGCGAAGGATAACACGTGCCTTTCGGTGCGTCCGTACTTCAAGTGGGAAGAAAAAAGATAAGACAAAAAGGCGGAGAGAGAAGGGAGACAACCTTTGGACCGATTATTATTTAAAAGATGTCCGCTCCGTACAGGAACGGCTCTGATTCTCTATGTTTCAATAACGAGGGTTTTTTGCTGCGTGAATTTTTTATTTTTTTAATATTTTTTTAGTCTTGATCCAGACCGTCGATCCACCCATTTATCAACTTTTTCAAAAAAGCGAAAAATATATGGATGGAATAAAAAGGAAGGATGAATTGTAGTGATTTTTTTAAGGCTCCACCAGTCGACTTCAGTGCATTACTACAAAAACATGTCGGACTCACTACTTAGGCTTCAAAAGTGAGTGGTCGGTATTCAACTGTGCATAAAAAGCCCAGCCGGTGGCTTGAAGCGGGTACCCACCCCTCCCGGTTTGGCTCGATGAACCAGACTCGACTGAATTTGAAAGAAGGGTGTGGTTTCTATAAGGTTGCAACCTTAAACGATCCAATCAAGACGCACCTTCAAATCTTATCATAATATATAATTTTGGTTTAAAAAATTCTTAAGATTATCTTAAAATCTAATTTTTTATCTATTTATAAAATTTTAACTCCAAAAATTGTTAGAATCAAGTAGATCTATTAACGTATGCAACTCTTGAAAATGGACAGTCTAGATAATCTGTTGCAAGATGCATTATTTTTTATAGTCAAAATCTTTTTTTTCTTTTCTATATTTATACATCTCCATATCGAGATCATCAATTAGAGGGGTTTTAACATTAAAACAACTTTTTACAATGGATTTTTGAGGTGCATATGTAATTCTACATTTTAAAGTTGCAACCTTATATAAACTTTTTTCTTGAAAGAATGGTATGGTTGTAAAGGCCTGCAAAAATTTTGAAAAGATTCAAAAACTAATTTTTTATTTTTTTGAAAAAGAAGTTTTAAGGCTATCACAAAAATTTCCATTATTAAAACCACGTCACTATTTGAAGGTCTTGAAGGAGAGCAGCCAATTCAACATCATTGGCTATTGTAGACCCACAAGGACCCGAACAAGAAAAAAGAATCGATCCAAAATTATTGCGAAGAGGCCCACCAACACGTACAAGCCCCGGATTTCCGAATGAGTTTCCATCAAAATTAAGTTTGAAGCAAGCTTCTAGAGATGCAATCCAACTTCTAAGAAGACAAATTTCAAATTGATAAAAATATCGGTCCGAAAAGTATCCCGTCCTTCAGGCGTATACGAAAACCAATTAAAAAAAAAATATAAAATAATATCTTTTACCCTTTCAATTATATGAGACACCCCCATCAAAAATTCTCCTATTACATTTTAACCAAATATGCAATAAAATAAAATCGTATCACACTCTCTCTTAAGTATGAACTGTTCATATCTCTCTCTTCGTCTCTCTCTCTAAAAGAGTGACAAGGACAATAATTTGTTGAGCAAATAAGATTTGTGAGAAGTGGAAAAAGTGGTGGGTTAGAGATGGACTCACTTTGTAGTGAGAAAATAATACTTTAAAAAGGTGTATGTGCTTTGCTACCAGGTATATTTCGGCAATTTCGAATATTAGAAATTATTTTCATGGAAACTCAACTTTCATTCAGTCCCTCGCCAGACCTAAAAGCAGGAGTGGTCTAGCTTCCTTTGGAAATTGGAACCCAATTTTGTGAGCATCTCCCTCTTACTCTCTCTCTCCCCATTTTATGAGCACCTCTCTCTCTAGCCCCTTAAGAGCGCAAATCTCTCTCTCTATTAAATTGTGGAAAATATTTTGGTATGGCTGCAGCCTTATCAAAATTATGGCAAACCTTCAAATCGATCATCTCAGTCTTAATCATGTGATGGTGAAAAAAGATTTAAGATTTCAAGCCGTAAAAAATATTTATTGTAGCATATTTTCTCTTTCTAAAATTCAAAATTCGATATAGTTTCTCTTTAAAGGTCCTTTAGGTACCTGAAAATCTATTATGTGATAATAGGTTACAAGGAAATATAACATTTCCACTGTTTGGCTGTACTTAATCGTATGTAAATAGAAAGAGAGATTACGCGAGATTTCTCCAAAAATTAAGAAATCCATTACGGTCGTAAGTAAATGGAAAGAGAGATTATGCGAGATTTCTCCAAAAATCAAGAAATCCATTACGGGGCGGTGATAGGTGAAAAATCTATTACGAGAGAGTGACAGGTAATTTTGAGCTATCTTTTCGCGTACGTTTTTGCCTACCCTATTTCTGAATAAAAAAATCTTCGACCCTCTCTCTTCATAATAACTAGGTGATTCTTTTTTTAAAGCTCGTCCCCTTATCTAAAGGTATCAGCTCATATAAAACAAAAATAATAAAAATAAAAATATATAATAAATTACACAACACAATCTTAATAAAAAATTTCACACAACATAATGTGATCCCTCTCTTTTTAAGCTTGTCCCCTTATCTGAAGACATCAGTGTCATATAAAAATAAAAATAATAAAAATACAAATAAATAATCAATGATAAATTACACAACACAATCATAATAAAAAATTTCACACAACATAATCATCATAAGATATTACTAAAATCTCAATTGAAATAACATACATATTTAGTCTCCCCCAATATTTCAAAATTTTATACTGCAATTACCAAACCTTCTAGTTTACTAATCAAACTTCTTCTTATTTTTTAACTCGTGCCCTACCGATTTTGAATTTAGTATCATAAATTTATTGTTTATATGAAATTATATAGAGAGACATTTGAAAGACTTCTATAAAAAATAAATAAAAATAAAGCTTATCATAATAAAATCATGTTATTCCAATCATATTGTTTCAATTACTTATTATGTTGAAACCAATGTCATGTTAAAAACATATGATTGCATATAAGTGCCAAAGGCACGTAAAATAAGCAGGAAATAGTGTCATGACTGTAAAATGGTACAAGTTATTATTAAATTCAAGATATATTTTCAGGTATACAAACGGCCCTTAAAACTCTAAATTCAAGATAGTTTCTCTCTCTAAAAAACATGATATTCCTCTATCTAAATTTTTCTTGGCAGTTTCTCTTTCTAAAATTTATAATAGTTTCTCTCCAAACGTTTAAGAATACTCTCTCTCTCTCTCTCTCTCTCTACAATTTTAAGAATACTTTCTCTCTCTAAAACTTAAGATTTGATATAGTTTCTCGCTCTAAAAAATTTTGAGATAGTTTCTATCTCTAAAACTCTATAGGTACTTTCTCTAAAATGTGATATTGTTTCTATCTCTAAAAACTATAATATTAAATTGTTTCTCTCTAAAAAATTTGAAATAATTTCTCTCTCTAAAAAATTGAGATAGTTCTCTATCTACAAATTTTCATGTACTCTCTAAAATATGATAGTTTTTCTCTAAAATTTAAATTTGATATAGTTTCTCTCTCTAAAATTTTGATATTGTTTCTCTCTAAAAAAATTTGGTACTTTCTCTCTCTAAATTTTTACCATATTTTCTCTCTAAAATTTTAACATACTTCCGCTCTCTAAAAGTTAAAATTTGAGATAGTATCTCTATCTAAAATATGATAGTTTCTCTCTAAAAACTTAAAATTTGACATAGTTTTTCTCCAAAATTTTGAGATAGTTCATCTCTCAAAAAAATGTGGCACTTTCTCTCTCTAAATTTTTAACATACTTTCTCTCTCTAAAATTTTAACATAACTTTCTCTCTCTAAAATTTTAACATACTTTCTTTCTCTAAAATTTTAACATACTTTCTCTCTCTACAAGTAAAAAATTGCTATAGTTTTCTCTCTAAAAATTTTGAGATGGTTTCTCTTTAAAAAATTTAGGTACTTTCTCTCTCTAACATTTTCATACCTACCAAATGCTCCCTATGTTTTGGGTCGAGGGAGCCAATGAGTAAAACCCATGGGCCTTAAAAATTCAAAAAAACAAGTTTTGGTGTGGAAATGAAATCATGGAAAAGTAGATCTTATTTTCATGATTTTGATTTTCATGATTTTAAGCGTCCTAGTCATTAAGCAATTAAAACAGTAGATTTTGGCATTATCCAAGATATTAGGAATTTCATGCCTTAAAAGCCATGTACCCAAACAGGCTATCAGTGAAATTTTTGTGGTAGGCTCCAATTTGATTGTTTAGAGCCTCGGCTTTATGTTAACTTTTTCCATATATATAAAAATAACTATTGTATTAGAAAATTGAGCTATGATCCAATGCAACGGTTGTATCCAAGTATAATGCAACGACACTTCTAGAAAACCATGTTTATGATATTTCTATGACCTCAAATTTTACACACACACTCTCTTCATCTCAATAATCAATCCCCTCAAAAAAAAAAGTTTAATTTGAACCCTAAATATGGTCAAAATGAGACCCCTCCAAAAACAAATTTAGAACATTTATTTTGTGAATTTAAGGATCTTAGCCTTTATAAACTTAAAATCATATTTTTTTTAAAAAAAATTATTCATCTAATGATAATAAAGCTATCTAAAAAAATTGGAAATGAAAAAAATCCTTCTAAGGCCTAGATATAAGAATCTCACCAAAATAAACAGCCTATGTTAATTGGGCTAAAAAAATACTTTCTAGTTTGTGTTTTCATTTTTTTTATTTTTTATTGTTCATTAGAATGAAAAGAGTGCATATTTCAAATTTTGGATCAAACAAATGGCCATAAAATGATTTTTTATGGTTGTTGCATCATATTACTATACAACTGTTGCATGAATCATTGCCCCTTAAAAATTATGATCATAGTTTCGTTACTGTAATATATAATCACTGAACTACTTATTTAAGTGTCAACATCCAAAATATTTAATTATGATTCTAATTATTTTGTAAATTATTATAATATTCATTGCAATATTATAATTATTATTGTTAGCAATATTTATAGGGAAAAGTTTATATAGAACCAAGGCTCTAAACAATCAAATTTGATAATACCTCAAAAATTTCACCAGAAGAAGTTGTTTTAATGCCCAAATATCTTCATATTGATCATCTCGATTTCAAGATGCATGGACATGGGGGAAAAATGGATTTCAAGTTTTGGAAATAGTACATTTTATAAAGTATTTTTGCACCGTCAATTTTCAAGATTTTCAAGTTTTCATAGATCTGTCGATCTAGACTATTTTTTAAGCTTCAAACTTTATAAATAAATAGAAAAATATATTTTAAGGCTATCACAAAAATTTCCCATATTAAAAGCACATTTCTCGACATTATTTGAAGGTAGGCTCTAATTTGATTGTTTAGAGCCTAGGCTCTATACAAACCACATATGATCACTATTAATATTATACTAATTTAGAATTGAAGATTTCTATTAAGAGAAATCATCTTAGTTATCAATGACAAATAAAGGAAATACTTTGGGAATTGGAGATTTGATGGCTCTAAAATCAATTTCCACGACTAACTAAGTTTTGAAAGCTCAAAATATGACAGATATTGCAGATCTATAAATGCTTGAAAATAGATGGTATAGATAATGTGATATAATATACACTATGTTTAAGCCTTGAAGTTCTAATGACATAGATATTGTTGATCATGCTTGAAAATAGATGGTGTTGGTAATGTGATATAAGATACACTATGTTTAAGCCTTGAAGTTCTAAGTTTTTGTATAACCATAATGGTCAAGATCGAAATGATCGATTTGAAGATTTCCTGACCCCAGATCTACAATTTTTAGTAAGTTTTAAAGAGAGGCTTTACTTTTTCCCATAATGCCTAGACCTTGTTTTTTACCTTTTTTTTCCTCCAATTTTTTGATAGAGGCAGCATGAGTCAAAATATAATACGCCCAATCCTAAGTCCCTGGGCTGGGATGAGACTATCTAAGAGCTTCACTGCACAATCAAATTAAGGTGTACATCAAAAATTACTAGAAGAGGTTGTTTTGATGTTAAAAAAACCTCAAATCAATCATCTCAACCTCAAGATGTTTAGATGTGAAAAAATAGATTCCAATTTTGGGAAATAATGCATGTTGTAATACATTATTTGGGCTGCCAATTTTTAATATTTTCAAATATCAACTTGACCTACACTATTTTTAAAGCTTTAAATATTATATTAGATATGAAAATAAAATTTAAAGCCATCACAAAGATTTTGACTACTTAAACATTATCTTCCAATGCTTTTTAAAGGTACGCCATACATTAATTGTTTAGAGCCTCAACCTTATACAAACCGCACCCATATTCAAAAGAATAGGGTTTTGATCCGTTTGACGCAGGTACATTTATTGTAATGTGTCCCCTTATCTTAGAAATAAACTTGTTATCCTAATTTCATAGTTATATTTTCAACCAAAACAACTAATTTTTAACCCTAAAAATAAATTATTTAGAATTTATTTTATTTGGATCAACCATTTTGATCCTTGGTCTATATGCACTCAAGTATAGAGTTGCGAATTCATGAATCTAAGGAATAATGCATTATGGTGGTTGAAGATATTTTCAAGGAAAATTTTTATAAGGTGTTATAATATAGAGGTGCGGCGCACCTCAAAAACTCACTGGAAAAGTACGTTTTGATACCGAAAAACTTCCATTTGCTCATCTCAACCTTGAGATATATGGATTTGAAAAACAAAAAGATTTCTAGTCCTAAAAATAATCTTGTACCATATTATCTGAAATATCCATTTTTAAGATTTTTGAGTACCAATAAATTTGGCTCAATCTATATTATTTTCGAAGCTTTAAATTTCATGATTAGAGATAAAAATAGATTTTCAAACCATCACATAGATCTCCAACACTGAAATATCTTTCAGAAGTGCACCTTATTTTGATTGATTATGGAGTAAAACTTATACAAACCTCACCCATTTCAAATATTAATCCTATTGAAAAATAAGACAGACTCATGCATCTGCTTACACGCAAAACTTTCCATATGTCAATCAAATAAATCATTAATAAAATTACGTACTAGCACATATTGCAAATTAACTCTCACGCACAAAAAAGCTACTTGTGAGGAGTTGTTTTCTCCGATATACACCAGAGAATCACTATATGATTATTTTAAGAAAATAAAATTAAAATTTGAGTTCATCATCAGTTACATCTTTCACTCCCCAAATAGCCAAGTCCACATCTTTCACTCCCCAAATAGCCAAGTCCTTGCTTCATCTTGTGACGTTATTTTTACAAATAAATAAATTAGAAAAATTTACATACATATCTATTATAGTTTCCGTTATTACGGCTCTACCGAATAGTTTCTGTTATTACCATCGTGTTCGTTTTTTTTATTTCAAAACAAAAATTAAAAACAGAAACGACTTTACCTTTTTTATGAATTCAAAATATTTTTAGTTGTGAAAACGATTCTATTTCGGTTTCAAAATATTTCTAGTTGTGAAAACGAGCCCATTTCGGTTTTTGAATAACCGAGAAATTTAAAATTTTTAGTTTTTCAATAACCAAAATTTTTTTTTTCTCTTGTGGGTTTGTATATCATCTCTCTATCTCTCTCTCAAAATTACATGGATAAAAATGATTTTTTTTTTAAACTCTCTCTCTCCCCTTCATCGAGCGCCTTTTTTTTTTAAGTAAGTTATTAATCCCTGATTTCTCTTAGGGGCTCAAACTAGTTGTTTTCCCTTGATTTTATCGCATAACCAGGGCTTCAAAGAAGTAGAGAGAGAATACACCACAAGATTTTTCACAATCTTCCAACCTCAATCCCTACAATTTTTTCTAAATTTAGGGGCTCAAACTAATGGTTCCCTTTTGATTTTATTGGATAACTATGACTTTAGAGAGGTAGAGAAAATACGTCACAAGAGATAAAACATTTTTCTATTCTTGTAGAACCAAAAATTTTAAATTTTTGTTTCTTCAAGAACTGAAATTGGAACATTTTCGATTGTTGAACAACCAAAAATACTTTGAATTTGATTGTTCAACAATTGAAAAAGGATAAAGTCATCTTTTTTAAAAAAAATTATTTTGACATGAAAAAAACGAATACGATGATAATAACGAAAACTATTCGAAAGAACCGTAATAACAAAAACTATAACTGATATGTATGTAATTTTCTCACTAAATTATGAAAAAATATACAATAAGATCATTTACTTTTAACACAAAATGGTCACAATTATTTTTAACTATCCGATATGAAATCTGATAGTTTGAATGTGTCACAAAGTTCGAGAAAATTTCTATTAAAGTTTGAGCTTGGTCAATGGAATAAATACAGCCATCCAATTTCCTAAAAGTACTTTTGGCCCAGGTTTTATCTATGGGAGCAAATAGACAGTATGCTCAATCACTCCAAGTAGCTTCACTCCTCTTCAATATGCTGTAGTTACAATAGCTTCACTGCTCTTCAATACGCCGCAGTTTCAGAATCTAAATACAAATCGTCTATAGACGGTCTTTCACAAGGTTTCTAGGAAGATTTACATTCCCACATTTGGATGGGTTAGAATCATTCTCTATCATCCTCTATATTGCAGCCATATTTTTTTTTTTTATACAATATCCAAAACTTAATTAATGAAAGAAAGTTACAGCCAAAAATTACATTTTCAGAGACAGCAATTGACGATAAAGCCGCACCCCTCTTAACAAGGGAATCTGCTATATCGTTCGCCTCTTTATAGAGATGATGAAAAGAGACTATCAAAGATCCCACCAAATCTAGAATTTTAAACCAGATTGATCTCAAATGCCACGGCACAGATTGCTCTTTATTGAACCATTTGATTACAGTCAATGAATCTCCCTCCACATAGCAAAGATCCCCAACATTGCTCTCTTTAAAGATCTTCAAACCATGAAGAAGAACAGAGAATTCTGCAAAATTGGCAGAGTATTGATCCCACATAGGTCAGCATAAGCAAAAATTACATCATAATTCCAATCTCTCACAATTCCCCCATAGCCCGCATGACAAGGATTACCATAAGAGCTCCTAAATTGCAGGCCCAGTTTTCTTGACCAATCTCTCATGAATTAGAGTTGACAAAATGTCAACCCAAGTGTCGGGCACACCAGGCAGGCACCAATGCATGCAATCCTGGCCCCAGACTGCAACTGCATCCTTTTTTCCCAGCCAAATAGCTGGGTGAGCATCAGCTCTGAATTCACTTAAATGGGCCAAATCAAGCAAATGGATGCTTGAGCCAAGTAATGCATGTTTAACGATGGAGTTCATTAGTCTGGCTTCCTTGTTTACTCCTCTTTTCCTTGGGTCAAACCATATATCGAGCTGTCAATGGGTTTTATACAAGATCAAGGTATTAAAACACCATTTTCAGTAAAAGCTTAAGTCTCTCTCTCTTTTTGACACACACACACATATTGCGGCATACCTGGAAACACCATTTTCAGTAAAAGCCAAAGTCTCTCTCTCTCTC